GCACTGGCCAACACTTACAGTCTGTGGAAATGAATGAGGGTGGTCTGATCTGCGGTCTGTTGGTTGGTGTGCATATATGTATACTCCAGGGATGGAGTGAGACAAAGAAGCAGGCCAGGAATTAGGCATCAGTTGAAGTCATTTAAACTACTGCATGAGTATACTGCTACGAAGAGTGCTTAAATTTAAGCTTGTTATGTTTTCAGATGCATAATTATCAAATAAAATGGAAAAAAATATAATAAAAAATTAATTAATATTTAATAAGAAATTAATTTAAGGATAGGCAAAATCATCTAGGTACCATGAAATATATACAGTGCCAAACAAACACTATACTGTATGTGGCTGTCAGTTATAGTGTACATAAAACATCAAATGTATAGTTTGCAAAACAAGTTATAATACAAAGTCTTTCCCATTGCCATTCACAAGTTTTATTGTGGAATTTCTTATGTTCATTTCTGATTACAGTTCAATTTTAATGATAAGCTTGTAATTGTTGCATTGTTGCACAGGAAAATACATATTTCCTGACTTCTGCAACAAGTCTAAAGGTTAGATTGTATGGTCACCAGCAATCTAGCAGTTGCAGATTGCTGGAGAACTACAATTCTGACACTGAACCAAACTACAACTCCCTGAAGTCATTGTTTTAATCACTCCTGCCACAGCTAACAGTCATCCGGACACATTCTCACACACATTGCTATGTCTAGTTTTTCCCGTAAGCATTACATTTCCCTTTTTTTTTTTCTGCCGTGTTTTTGATCCTTGTTTACCGTTTTTGATTCTTTGCTGCCTGTCCTGACCGTTTGCCTGTTTTCGACTACACTCTTTAGATTGTTCTCATGCTGCAGTTTTGTACCTGTTTGACCATTGCATGCCTGATTATTCTTGTTAGTTAATAAACTGCACATGGATCCTCATCTCTGTTGTCAGACTTGGTCCATTACAGTACTACAGTAAATACTGCTATTCTATTCAGCAGCATTTGCAGTCAGTTTAATCAATCATACCAATCCATAAAATGATTTTAACATTATTAATAACCTTGAGACGATAAGTGCTTAATTTAAGCTGGATCCTGTTTCAAGAAAATGTCAGATATTCGTGCTTTGTGTTCCAGTATTTATTTTATTTTGCGTGCACACACATGACGTTAGTCGCCATGCGCAAGTTAAATGAAAACTATTGGCCCTCAAGTATAATTTGAGCCAATCAGCTTTCTTATGTTTACAATCGCTCTCATTGATTGGTGATTATTGTTTCGCTCGCAGTGATGAGCGAAAATAAATAATGGCATAGTGGCCTACCTAAATAATAGTTGTATTTTCACAACGGCAAAGAGGCAATCTCACATGTTTTAATTTTTTAAAACAACGAATTAATCTGATAATGAGCCTGATCCAAATAGATCTTGAGAGCATGAAACTGCGGGAATGAATCAGGATAGCGTGAGACAGAAGCAAAGGGATCTCAAGTCATAAAACATGAGAGAAGAGGTAACTGTGGGCTCTTCTTGAAGATTAGACTGAGTCATTTAATTAATTGTTTTTTACTTGTAACATAATAGTGAGGTGAACTAAATAGTGTTTTTATTATCTGACCTTTAACGTTATATGACACAAAATAATTAAACACCTTTTAGAAACGTGATGCTCTTTTTCGTGCTATCACCAGTGCTTAATTTGTGAATTGCGAGGTTCCGGATCAGATCAGGGTAACAGATCCTTCATGTTACCTGAGAATGCAAAGATGTCGCGCATGAAAGTGGAGAGAGGGGGGCATTGGATGGCAGAGGAGTGTTGGTCCGGACCCGGTGTGTTTCGGCACAAATTAAGCCCTGGCTAACACCATTTAATGACATTATGTTCCTGGAACATGTTTGGTGGAAGTCGGTTACGGTGATCTACACTGTAAACGATTTCTTGTTAAATTAACAGTAAGTTACTGGCAACAATTATCCAGTAGCTGCTGTATTTCATAAAACAGTAACATTACTGTAATACTAATTACATTAGTATTACATTTACTGTAAAATGTAATACATCATTTTACTGTTTTCTTTTTATACTGTAACACCAATTACAGTAGTAATACACATACTGCAAAACTGAAAACAGTATTTTAATGTACATTTTTAACATGCAGAACTACGGTATTTTAACGTTACTTTCATTATTACTGTATAGTATTTTACAGTTATTAAATGTTATTTTATTGTATTTAACAGTGCTACTTTATAATGAGCAAAAAAGTTCAAAAATTGCACAAATGTTATTTTAACTGTTCAAGAAATACAAGAAAAATAAAGAAACTGAAACTTTAACTTCACAATAAAAGTTTATTGTGTAAACCCTACTGAAACAGTAGCAATTATTCAATATAACACAGCAACAGAACACTAATGAAAAATTGATCAGTAAAACCAGTCAACAATTAATGCATCAAAAAGTATTACAATTTTAAAAACAGATGAAAATACTGCTACAAGACACGAAATGATGAAGGCCAAATTATGTTGTGGAAAAGGGACAGTGAAAAAGGGCAGGAGCACTTCTGATGATCCTGCAAAAACGACAAGCAAAATCAATCACTGGAGTAAAAACTAATCATGCCTCAAATTATTTCATTCATTCAGAAAACAAACACCGCACTGCTGTTTTATATATATAAAACACTGTTTTTTATCGTTTTTGTTGGCAAAATACAGATTGTTGTCTATTTACAATTACACTAACGTTAATGGGGAAAAGATCAGTCAAGTCAACACTAGTCAAGTGTCTACACAGGTATGTAAAAAATAAAGTCTCATCTTAACTTAATGTCTGACTCTGTATAGCTTGAATATCTGATTCCATGACCAAACTAGCGCTTCCATGAATTTAAGAGGGGTGAACACAGTTAATTCTGACCTTAAGAGGCTACATATTAAAAATAAATAAATAAATAAAATAATCTAATTTAACGTGACTAATGTTAATCAAGTACTTTTAGGCTTTTAACATGTGAAAATCTACTTCTAACTTACAGACAAGATTACATTAGAGAACATGAAAGCCATGGGTGATTTAAAAAAAAAATGCTAATGATAAGTTACTGACATTTGGTTCGCATAAAACAAAGTAATCACTAAGCATTCATTTTTGGCAAAATCTGCCGAAAGGCACAGCAACACGATCAAATGTGTTAAAGTTGAGCAAAGAAATGAAGAGTAGTCAAGCAGTCTACTTCATGAAATGTTTGTGATAATATTTTGCAGTCAATTAGTATTACTGTATTTCAATATGCAGTGATGGCATGTCAGTGAGACAAATAAATATTATTACACCTCTCCAGTGACATTTCCTCAAATTAAATCATCATAACGTTACTGTGCACAGCATCAGTAAAACGTTAAGAATAATTTAAATACCAAATTTTAAAACAGTCACTGCTAATTACAAACTAAAATTAAAGATAGGCTTACAGAAATCCTGAATGCATGATAATATGAATATTTATTACTCACTGATGTCGAAGCACTTCCAGGTTGTCAGAGATGTAGACAGGACAGAATATGTGCCATCAAATGAGCTCTTGTGCAGTCTTTGTTGGACATCAAGGTAGTATGTTCACCCACACTGTAAACAAAAAAAAATCTGTTATTTTACATGTTTTTTTCCCAGAAGCTAGGGTAATAGAGTCATTTAGTTAAGTGGTTTAAAATAATTTTATTTATTAAATACTTGCTTACCCATATATAGATGTAAAAGTAACCAAAATAAATAATTCATTAAAATGTGTGGGATACTAAGCATGTTTAGTCTACAGAGAGAAGTAAACATTTACTTTAAGCATTGATCCTAATGAATTTATTTCTGAACTACATCCAACCTCACCTCTGAAACAGCATTTTTGAGCATTTAGATCAGGGGTGCTCAACCCTGTTCCTGGAGATCTACCTTTCCGCAGAGCTTACCTGCAACCTTGATCAAGAACACTTGTCTTTATTTACCAAGTGCTCCTTCAGATACTATTTATTTTGTTTAGTTGCGTTTGATCAGGGTTGGAGCTAAACTCTGCAGAAAGGTCGATCTCCAGGAACAGGGTTGAGCACCCCTGTTTAAGACAATAAAAAATAAGACATCTAGATGATATTTTATATTCAATCATTTGTGAAATTTAAATGACTTATATTCAGTATATACATAACATAAAATTAGAATAAGAATAAAAAAATAATACTCTATGCCAAATAAAATACTTCAGATCTAAATAAAGCAGGTGTTTTTACCTAAAGGTTCCTTTCCTCCAGTTAGTTTAGTTGCAGATCCCTCCACATCTGTGCTTTATTTGGTTCTTGACTTAAGAGTAACTGGTGTCACATTCCAGGTCCATCACAATCTGAGCTAGAAAGACAATATGGCAAAAGACAAGACACATATAAATAAGTCTCAGAATAAAATATTTAAAATGATAGTTTACTTTTCTGCCACCATTACTCCATGTGTTTTAAATCCATTTAAATTTCTGTTGAACAATAAAGCAAATATTTTGAAGAATGTTAGAAACCAGTAACTATTGACATCCATATTTGAACCAAATTTCTTTAAAAAAAAATATGAGTTTGTGTTCAATGGAACAAAAAAATAATCTAACTATTTTGAAACAAGTGGAGGATGCCAAAGATGCCATTATTTTCATTTTTGGGTGAACTGTCCCTTCAATTCAAGTGTCACGCATTACTCATAAAAACTGATGTATCGCTTGAGGAAAACTAAATCAAGTACCTCCTGTGAGCAAGCAGAATCATTATGCCATTGTATTCAGCCAACTGACCCAGCCAAGGCTCGAACCAGCAACCTTCTTGCTGTGAGGTGACAGCACTACCTACTGTGCCACTGCGTCGCTTCTGGAAGAAGCAAAAGAGGTTGTACATGAAACTCCTCACAACAAATCTGTGAACAACTTGACATTTCAAAATCTAATCAAAATGAGGAAGACATCAACATTACCTTGAATAATCAAGTGAGGAGAGATTGGTAGCATCAGTTTTTCAGCATCAATTGCTGTAGCTGCAAAAAAGATAATTATAATAAAAGTAAAATAAGACTTAACATTTAATAATCTAAATCTATGGTACAACCATACAAATCTGTATGGGGTTCAAATAAATTTGTATACAAATCATTCCCTACACCTGAACACCAAAAATAAAATGTACAATTAAGGACACAATAACGTTATACAATAAGCTCATTAACCAGTGAGAAATAGACAATTAATATGAATTATGTTAATATTAACGTTAGCTTAAAAGACATCAACTGAATTTTATTATCAGCTCAATTTAATAAAACAGTTTAGACTTGTTTCATTGTGAGTTTAGTGTGAATAACTAACTTACAGTTTACAAATCTAACCATAATGATAACTTGGTCATAATGACCACATGAAGACCAGAGCTTACCTTAACGTTAAACGTTTAACTTTTCATGGTGACTTTGCCTTCATCTCAGTGTTGTGCTGAAATAGAGAATTCATTAATGCAGTTAACCCCAAGTAAAAGTTACGTTTTTTTCAGGTAACTTAACGTTACTATGGTCAAAAACTCACTCAAGATAAACTCACTGTAATTACCTTATCTAATACCTCGCAAACACTACAAACACGGTCTGGCGTCGAATAACGTGACATAAGTACCTAACTTACAGTACAACTAAAGTAACTTGGTTAATTATTTTAAATTACACACATACTACACGGAAATATACACAAAACAATCCTTTAACGAACAGAATTTGACTTTTAAACACTTACCGAGGATGAATTCACTGGAAGAAAAGGCGACAGGTGGATTTCAAATTAGAAGAGCCGTTGCTTGCCTGGTGAAGGTCGAATTGAGTCGGCTCGGCTTTATGAATCGGCTCCTTAGAACAGTAAAGAGTCGAGTCCGCCTAAAACCGATTCCGTTTTGTATATTATTGTAAGACACAACCATGAATCATTACTATTTCGTTATACTGCCACACACATTTATACACATATTGCTGAATGTGCTTGTGAACACGTGTGATAAAATAATTCCCGAGCAAACGGTTCAATCCGATTCGGTGTCGTTTGTGTGCTGAACCGAACCAGTGCAAACGTGGTATTGATTAAATAGTAATATTGTTTTTTTCTTCTCACTTTACCAGCGAAAATATTACATATATCTGACTTTAACAATAAGAATAAGATTCGCTTGAAGTGTTTTGAGAATTAATATTTTTTTCTCCCAGGGTTCATTTCACACCAACAAGCAAATAATGGCTGAGAAAAGCCAGATCATATCATAAATATTGCGTTTAATATGTCACGAAATGAAGTTTTAACAGTTTTTCATGCGAGAATGTAGTTCTTCCAAACTCAAATCTGTGGTTTGTTTTTAGATATCATGTCTAATTCTAAGTGTGCTTTGCCGATAGGGGAGATTCTGACCTCCAGGGGTTGACGGCGCTCCATCACTCATGTATCCGGCAAACCTCATGCTTTAATCGGCTTAGACATTATTGAGACATGCCCTGTCTTCGGTGACTAGATAATAAATGTGTTATGAAATAAAGTTTTAACCGTTTTTCATGCGAGAATGTAGTTGTTTTAAACTCAATTCTGTGGTTTATTTATTAAGATAGTGCGTATTTTAAAATGTTGTTTTGAAAATGCGGAGATATGTGACCTCTACGGTGGCCAATATGGGCGCCCAATATTCTTGAATCCGTCTAAAGCAGGTTGGTCACTCTGACATTTAAGCTGACTTTGAAATCATTTTGTGTGTTTAACAGTCTTTGGTTACGTGAATCAATTTATTTTTGTTCCAATTTACGTTTTGGTTTAGCACAAAGTTATGTTTATTAAATATTATTTAATATTTCCATGTTGCCTTATAAAGTGCACCCAAAAATGGAAAACCAGGGGACAGTTTAATGCACTGAACAGTCTGAAGAAACTGGTTAGGTTATTTACTTCACAAAATAATTTGTCTAAAAATAAATAAACATAATAATCATAATATATAGTGTGTGTGGAGTTGTTCTTGGTCATTTGCAGTACTGTATTTAGATGCACAGTAACGGATTTTTCCCCAAAATTCATTATAAAATCTACAGTAACATACTGTTAACCATGTTTACAGTATAGAAAAGTTGAAAATACATTATTATACTGTGAAAACAACAATATATACAGTAACACACTGTGCACAGCTTATACAGTAAAAAACTGTTGAGAAATGCAGTATAATACTGTGAAAACAACAGAAATCGTTTACAGTGTATATTTCGCGGTTTTGTTGCGGGAATTATTCATTTACAAATTAAGGACTGCCTATATGACTTTTCAAGCACAATTTCCTCCATTTAGAGTTTATGTTGCTGTAAGGTAGTATTGTTCCTGTATGTGTTGTACACTAACCCTAACCCTAACACTTCAGGTTCTAACAAGTACTCTTAAAGGTTTAGATTACTCAAAAATTTCAATTATGTTGTTAAAGTTTATTAATTCAGTGTTATTAAGCCTCATGTTGTTTCAAATTCCAAGATCTTTGTTCATCTCCAGAACACAAATGAAGATATTTTACGGGATATCTGAGAGCTCACTCATCCTCTATAAACAGCAGTATTACCAAAAAGCATCCTCAAAACAGTCCAGGTGTCTTCTGTGGTTCAACCAAAATTTTACAAAGCTACAAGAATACTTGTGCATACACATAAAACAAAAACAACTTTAAACATTAAAACAGTCAATTGCTTCATTTTTAAATGAATTGGCTTCTTTGAATAAATCACTTGAATTAAGAATTTAATCTCTCAAACAGTCTCTTTACTGGAGGTTTTAGCTTTTTTTAATCAACATTTCTCCTTTTCATTCATTCATTCATTCATTCATTCATTCATTCATTCATTTCTTTTCGGATTAGTCCCTTTATTAATTTGGGGTCGCCACAGCAGAATGAACCACCAAATTATCCAGCACGCTATTACGCAGCGGATGTCCTTCCAGCTGCAATCTATCACTGAGAGACATCCATACACACCCATTCACACTCATACACTATACGGACAACTTAGCTTGCCCAATTCACCTGTACCGCATGTCTTTGAACTTGTGTGGTAAACCAGACCACCCATAGGAAACCCACGTGAGCTTGGGGAGAACATGCAAAGTCCACACAGAAACGCCAACTGACCAACCGGGGCTCGAACCAGCAACCTTCTTGTTGTAAGGCGACAGCACTATCTGCCACCGCGTCACCCCATTTCTCTTTTTGACATTAAGAATTTTATATTTACAAGATACATTTCATAAGATTATTTATGCAATTGTTTTTGCACTTTAAATATAATACCACCTCCCAGCATTAAACTGTCAATAAAATTGCATCTAAATGTTACTTTAGATGTAGTTTCTGTACAAATTCAAAGTCAGCTTTATTGTCAATTCAGCCACATGTACAGGACATACAGATAATCAAAATTACATTACTCTCAGACCCTAGGTGCCTAACATATATTAATAATATAAAAAATAGAATTTTAAGGGACAAAAATGCAATATATACAATTATACATAAAATGTGGTCTAAAAATATACAGAAAATGTAGTGTAAAAATATACATAAGGAATAAAAATTTGTAAACAATACAATGACATTAAGGGCATATAGCAAATACATGCAAACCAGAATTGTGCAGACAAAGAACAGTATATAGTGCAAAAAGGCTTGTAAACATGATAAATATGTTAAAGTGACAGTGTCATAATACTGCAAATAGGGAGGTAGTATGATGTGTCTAACTTGTAGACCAATGTTACAGTACGACTGCATTGCTAGCAGAACCATAGACATGAACCATATTATAAAATGTTACTTGTGGGTTTGTAGGGAGCATCCCTCCCCCATGCTGTCTGGCTGGTAGCAGGTGATCAGACTCATGTGACGGTGCTGATTTCATGTGCTCATGTGCAGACTGATAGCAACAGAAGCAGGATGTGGCAGCCGGCGGTGGAGAAAGGAATACATCCGTCACTATGGTTTAAATGGACCAGTGCTTTTTCCCTCGCTTAAAAACCTCTGGGAATTTACTTTATATCTACACTGTAAACGATTTCTTTTTAAATTAACAGTAAGTTACTGGCAACAATTATCCAGTAGCTGCTGTATTTCATAAAACAGTAACATTACTGTAATACTAATTACTTTAGTATTACATTTACTGTAAAATGTAATACATCATTTTACTGTTTTCTTTTTTTACTGTTACACCAATTACAGTAGTGATACACATACTGCAAAACTGAAAACAGTATTTTACTGTACATTTTTACCATGCAGAACTACGGTATTTTAATGTTACTTTCATTATTATTGCACAGTATTTTACAGTTATTAAATGTTATTTTATTGTATTGTATAGTGCTACTTTATAATGAGCAAAAATGTTCAAAAATTGCACAAATGTTATTTTAACTGTTCAAGAAATACATGAAAAATAAAGAAACTGAAACTTTAACTTCACAATAAAAGTTTATTGTGTAAACCCTTCTGAAACAGTAGCAATTATTCAATATAACAAAGCAACAGAACACTAATGAACAATTGATCATTAAAACCAGTCAACAATTAATGTATCAAAAATTATTACAATTTTAAAAACAGGTGAAAATACTGCTACAAGACAGGAAATGATGAAGGTCAAATGATGTTGTGGAAAAAGGACAGTGAAATAGGGCAGGAGCACTTCTGATGATCCTGCAAAAATGACAAGCAAAATCAATCACTGGAGTAAAAACTAATCATGCCTCAAATTATTTCATTCATTCATTATGAATTATGAATTATTATTTCATTCATTATATAAATAAAACACTGTTTTTTTATCGTTTTTGTTGGCAAAATACAGATTGTTGTCTATTTACAATTACACTAACGTTAATGGGGAAAAGATCAGTCAAGTCAACACTAGTCAAGTGTCCACACAGGTATGTAAAAAAATAAGTCTCATCTTAATGTCTGACTCTGTATAGCTTGAATATCTGATTCTATGACCACACTAGCGCTTCCACGAATTTAAGAGGAAGTTCATTCTGACCTTAAGAGGCTACATATTAAAAATAAATAAATAAAATAATCTAGTACTTTTAAGCTTTTAACATGTGAAAATTCACTTCTAACTTACAGACAAGATTACGTTAGAGAACATGAAAGCCGTGGGTGATTTTTTAAAATAATGCTAATGATAAGTTTCTGACATTTGGTTCGCATAAAACAAAGTAATTACTAAGCATTTATTTTTGGCAAAATCTGCCGAGAGGCTCAGCGACACGATCAAATGTGTTAAAGTTGAGCAGAGAACTGAAGAGTAGTCCAGCAGTCTTCTTCTTGAAATGTTTGTGATAATATTTTTCGGTCAATTTGTATTACTGTATTTCAATATGCAGTGATGGCATGTCAGTGAGACAAATAAATATTATTACACCTCTCCAGTGACATTTCCTCAAATTAAATCATCATGACGTTACTGTGCACAGCATCAGTAAAACTTTAAGAATAATTTAAATACCTAATTTATTAAAACAGTCACTGCTGATTACAAACTAACATTAAAGATAGGCTTACAGAAATCCTGAATGCATGATAATATGAAGATTTATTACTCACTGATGTAGAAGCACTTCCAGGTTGTCAGAGATGTAGACAGGACAGAATATGTGCCATCAAATGAGCTCTTGTGCAGCCTTTGTTGGACATCATGGAAGTATGTTCACCCACACTGTAAAAAAATAAAAAATCTGTTATTTTACATGTTTTTTTCCCAGCAGCTAGGGTAATAGAGTCATTTGGTTAAGTCAAGT